CCCAGGAAAGCCCCAGGTACTATGTGCCATCACCATGCCTAGTCACTCATACCGGCAGATGTGGAGCTATTCTGTGACAGTCACACCCAGGCCTCAGCCCACAGCCGAACTACACATAAACATAGCCTACTACCACAGCCAGGTCACCTTCCACTGCACGAACTAAGCAAACTTCTCCTCCACCGGCCGCCACCTCCCCTATCCACCCTCAATCCGCAATGTCACTCTGCAGGCTCCGCTTACCTGTGTGAGAGAGATGAGCGCCGCCATCTTTGCAGCTACTCACAAGAACGCGCAGAGCGTCAAGCCTGCACTGGGAACGCGCGCAGCTCTGTGGGGGGGCGGGGACACGAACGCTGACCGAGGGGAAGGGGGCGGAGTCGTGCACAACGTACCACACTGAGTGGAAATGGGTGGGGCCTTCACCATTGTAAGGCACTGACTGAGAAGGGGCGGGGTCGTGCAAGCATTTAGACGGCACAGGACCGGATGATGGAGAGAGGCGTGATTGAGAAATCGGCTCGTTCACATCGCCGAGGAAGGGGAGCGGTACAGAAGTACATTCCTGGCTTAGAAATTGACATTCGCAATTTGCAAACGTCAGCGCATAGGAAGGAGTTCACACAGTCCAGCCTGGAGTTCAAATGAATTTTAAGGGAGCTGTGTTTTCTTCAGTCATATTAACCCCCATTTGTAAACTGGGAAACGGGCGGACTGACAACAAGGTAATCATGGGGCCCCTGTGTCCTTGGACAAACTCGAAAAAGGTACCAGGGGCATCTCATGGGGCCCCCTACTGAGCCCGGGACCTCGGGCAGTGCCCTAGTTCCCGAATGGTCAGTTAGCCCCTGCTGGGAACAAAACAACGTCCCATTAAAGTTGTTTTATTCACTGTGGAACCTAAGGGGTTAATCCTCTGCATTGCATAAAACACTCTTTGATCCTGACTTCTCTGATCCTCCCCTTCTTCCAGTACCAACCTCTTATCTCCTGATAAGACATATAGTGTGAAGACACTCTGCACATGCTCAGTTTGGTGTGTATTGCTAGAGGTTTTTTTCTTTCTTGAGAGAGTGCATGTGATCAGCACAGGGCCAATCAGCACAGTCCAGACAGAGGGTCATGGGTCCTGAATCCTCCTAAACTAGAATGAAAACTCATCCTGCAAGCTTTAACCAGTGTTTTGCTGAACACTGATAGAAGTCACAAGACTGCTCTAACAGCTGATGAGAAAAGGTACTTGCAGTTTATACTGCTAAACATAATTGCATTTCCATGTTGTGTGAACTGTGGGAGACCAGATATAGTGAATGCAGATTCCTGGGTTTAGTAACACTTCAGATTTCTTTTCCTGGCCTCGCAGTTAACAGTTTTCAAAGCTGCTGTACCCTGCTCTTTCGGTGCTGCTTCCCTGAACTTCTGGTCCTCCAAGGGCAGTACAGCCTCCAGTCAGTCTATTAAAGTGTGACTAACCCCACACTTGTAAAATGAGTCTGTATATGCAGTAAAGCATGCTTTTTATACTCACTGTAGAACCTAAGGGGTTAATCCTCTGCAATGTGTAAAAAGGTCATTTGATCCTATCTTCTCTGCCCCTCCTCTTGTTCAAATGTCCACATGATAAGCCAGACTGAACCCATAGCCACATGCACATGCTCAGGTTAGTGTGTATTGCTAGAGAGGTTTTATTTTTTCTTGGGAGAGTGCATGTGATCAACACAGGGCCAAACAACACTGTCCAGACAGAGGTCAGGGGTCCTGCATCCTCCTAGAGCAAAATGAAAACTCCTCCTGCAAGCTTTAACTAGTGCTAGGCTGGACACTGACAGAAGTCACAAGACTGCTGTATTCTGCTGATGAGAAAAGGTATTCAGCAGTTTATATTTACTAAGATAATTGCACTTCCATGTTCTGTATACTGTGGGAGACCAGGGGCGGACTGACAACTCGTGGGGCCCCAAGGAAATAGGGGATCATGGGGCCCTCTCATCCTTGCCCAAACTCAAAAAAGCCTATGAAAAAGGTACCAGGGACATCTCATGGGGCCCCCTACTGACCTCGGGCAGTGCCCGAGTTTCCAAATGGTCAGTCCGCCCCTGTGGGAGACCAAATATAGTGAATGCAGGGTCCTGGATTTAGTAACACTTAAACTTTGAAAAGGGAGGGGTGAGCAGGGGAGTACCTTGCCATTCCTGGCTACAGAACTTGTGTGCTTTTATTGATGCACACAGGACAGGCAGTCACAACTCTACTTCCTTGCAAGGGTGGCTCCATAGGATGCTATTAGAGAAAGGAGTCAGGAAACCTCGGGCAGTGTCATGGCGGAAGTGGAAGTTCTCTCCCCCTCCCTCCACGCAGTCTTCTGGGATAAGTAACAGGTCCCAGAAGACTGCAGGACCATTCACAATGCAGGAGCTGCGCTGCTTAGCTCCTCTTTAATGATTCTGATCCATCAGCTGTGGAGCACAGGTCCTGGTTGTAGATCTGCCCACGTTGCTCTCCTCCCAGGACTGCCCTGCTCTCTGCAAATTTGCTAGAGAAAACAGTGAAACTTCTCTCCTATAGACTCTGCAGCTAACGGCGGGTGGCAGCTTTGCATCAACAGACTCTAACATCACTACACCTGGCTGTACCTCCAGCATAGTAGTAGAAGCCCTTCATGCCCCTGACTCAGGTCCACTCTTGATTTTACTCTCCCCAGGCCACAGGCCTGAGAGGCAGGGGCCTCCACGATAGCCTTTTCTCATACAAACAGCACAGAAGGCAAGGACAAAAAAATCCTTCTGAAAGATCACTCCAGATATTTATATCCTCCCCCAGCATGCATCACCACCAATTAACCTCCTAGTTGTTGGTCAGGGAGACAAAGGGTCCTTTCACATGGCTGTCATCAGTTTAGTCACATTTTTTCAAAGAAAAAACTGATTTAGTTTACATTAGTTTTTTTACATCAATCTTAAGTTCAGTTTACATCAACTTACATTAGATTTCATACATTTTTACATCCCCAGATGTTAACGTAACCCTAACCACTTGAGTCCCAGAGCCAATTTTTCATTTTTTTTGTTCACATGATTAATCACTAGCCTAACGAGCACTTTTACCCCCTTCCTGCCCAGGACAATTTTCAGCTTTCAGTACTGTCACACTTTGAATGACAATTGTGCGGTCATGCAACACTGTACCCATATGACATTTTTTTTTCACACAAATAGAGCTTTCTTTTGGTGTACTTCTTATGAGGATCACAGAAGTGCAGTTTGTTCTGCACTCCTGTGACCCATTGTCAGCTGACAGCGGACTGAAATCCGCTGTCTGCTGACATCACTCAGTCGGTCTAGACTGGGGAAAGATTCCAACTTCACATTCGGGATCCACCCCAGGGTCTGGAGTGGCACCTAGCTCAGCCTCTCAGCGAAGCACTGAAAGCCTGAGGCAAGCCGCTCCCACCCCCTCCACAGCCCAGTGCTCCAGTGAGTGCTGGGGGGCTGAGCAGACAGCAGTGACTTACATTCTAGCTCAGAGCGGAGAGGAGAACTCAGCGATCATGTGATCATTGAGTTCTCACCTTAGAGCCCGGCGGGGGACAGATGAAGCATCGGACCAGTGCTTCATCTATCTAGGTAAGTATAATTGGGGAAAACAAATTAACCCCATAGGCCTTTTTATCACCACTGGGTTTTTTATTTTTTTGCACTATAAATGAAAAAAGAGCAAACATTTTAAAAAAAAAAAGTTTTTTTTTTTTTTGTATTATAAAATTATTCAAACAGGTAATTTTTCTTCCCTAATGTGCGTTGATGAGTCTGCACTGATAGGCAGCACTGATGGGACTGATATGGCAGCACTGAAGTATGCTGGTGAGGCAGCAATGATAGGCTGCATTGCACAGGTGGGCATTGATGAGGAGGTACTGATGATGCTGCACTGACATACGGCACTAATGGGCACTAATAGGTAGCACTGAAGGGCACTGACTGGCAGCACTGGCTGATGCCACTGACTGGTGGCACCGATAGAAAACACTGAGAGGCACAGATTGGCAGCACTGCTGGGCAACACTGCTGGACACTATGGACAGCACTGGGGCACCGATGGGCACTTTTAGGGCTGCACTGATAATCAGGGCAATCAGTGCAGATGTCTCCTTTGACTGTTGCCGAGTTAGTACTGCAAGTGCGTTTACATGGTGATCAGCTGTTCACATGGTAAAGGGCCACTGAGATTGGCCTTTTAACAAGTCATGTAATCAGCTGTGTCCTAAGGAGACAGTGATCACAGACAGCGCCACGCCAGGTGCGCGCCGCTGGGGGTGTGGGGGTGGAGCGTTCTGGGAGGACTTCATATGACCCCTCCCAGAACTAGACGATCGTACTGTAGCCATCGTTTCGGCTATAGCATGGTAAGAAAGTGGACATCATATGTTGTCCTCCCATTCTAACCTCGGACACAGCGGATCACCAATCAACGGAAAGAGCCAAAGACGTTGGCTCTGTCGTGATCAGCTGTGTCCAATCACAGCTGATCGCATGTAAGTAAGAAAATGCCGGTAATCGGCATTCCTCAGAGGGGAACATGTACACTGATCATCAGGGCACTGATGATCAGTGTGCCCTGATGATCAGTGTAGCCCCATCAGTGCCACCTGTCAGTGTCCATCAATGCCAGCTGTCAGTGCTCATCAATGCCACCTGCCAGTGCCACATCAATGCTACATATCAGTGCCTACCAGTGCACATCAATGCCACATATCAGTGCCCATCTAAGCTGCCTTTCAGTGCCACCTATCAATGTCAGTTAGTGTCACCTATCAGTGCTGCCAAACAGTGCCGCCTAACAGTGCCAGTCAGTGCCGCCTAACAGTGCCATATATGAGTGCTGTCTTTCAGTGCCCATCAGTGATGCCTGACAATGCCCATCAGTGCCACCTACCAGTGCCTCCTCATCAGTGCCCATCAGTGCAGCCTGATTAGCGCACATCAGTGAAGGAGAAAAATCACTTATTTACAAAATTTTATAACAAAATTAAGAAAAAACTTTTATTTTTCAAAATTTTCAGTTTTTGTTTTTTTCAGCAAAAAATAAAAAACCCAAAGGTGATTGCATACCACCAAAAGAAAGCTCTATCTGTCTAAAAAAAATGATAAAAATGTAATATGGGTACAGTGTTGCATGACCACGCAACTGTCATTCAAAGTGTGACAGCACTGAAAGCTGAAAATTGACCTGTGCAGGAAGGGGGTATAAGTGCCCTGTAGGCAAGTGGTTAAAACCCAACAATGTACATTTTTTTTTACTCAATTTATTCTTATTAAAAATAAAATAGTGTATACAGAATTAAGAAAAAGGAGGGAGTACAAAAAATAGAAAATGCCACATAATGCAGGCCATACATGGGTCGAATTCTAAACAAATTTTCTTTAGGAAATTGGAAATTTTGTGCATTTTGTAATCCAATGGGGCCGACCATTGATTTAGAAATTCTACCAACCAAGGCTTTAATTTTACCTCATTTCTTTATTATATTTCTTGCACGATTCTCTCATCACTGATTAGAAATTTGTTTTTAAACAAATGCCAACATACCCAATCACTAAAATTCGATGGCAGCACAAACCAATTGGCCAATGCTGTGGCCCAACAATGGTGCGAAATTCGAAAGAAAATCCTTAGTTACAATTTTTGAAAGAAAATTTGTTGCAAATTCGACCCATGTATGACTGGCATTAAAATGTAGAACAAAGTAACCTCTTGAGCCAGCAGTAAGTATAACAATGTTGAATTACAGCTTTGGTAAACTGCACAAGAGATTGTCAATATTACACTTACATCTGGGGTTCTGTTAATAACTATGACCTTAAAGTGGAAGTTCAGGCAAAACTTTACTAAGGGTAGACCTTCTCCCACCCACATTCTAAGGCTCTTCTGTCGAACCCTGTAAAGAAAAAGATCTGTAGCCTTACCTGAAGCCACTCCGGTCCAGTAACAGGATCAGCTGTCAGCGGTGGCTTTTGTGTACGGATGTGGGAAAGCTTAACCCATAGAAGACTAATTAGTGGACTGCTCAATATATACAGTATGTGTATGTGTGCCCACTGTGTGTGTGGCAATGCCAAGTAATGTTTGAGTAGTCTGTTGAGAGTTGATGTAGTCTATGTGGAGCAGCTTAATTTACATATGTTATGTGTAATGGTACAAGCAGGTGACTTTGGCCTCATGTGATAGACTGACATTCAGCGCTCTTTCCTGTTAATTTGAAAAGTTATTAGGTATTGTACTGCCCTAGACAACACAAATCAAGGGGGAGGGGGTTTTTTTTTTTTTGCCCCAGTTCTGGTGGCAAACAGTTCACCATTCTAAAGCCCACGGTGGGCATTACCTGTTTGGCATCCTGAAGCTCTAAGGGGCTGGAATCAGATACAAGTTTTCCATAGAAATATACAAAATTTGCATTGCCTGGGAGATTTTCTGGCTTTGGCATCAAAGATAACTAAAGTTCCCATCCCTTTAGATGACTTCCTATTGAAGGGAACAATTGGTGCAGGCTCTATTTTTTTTTTTTTTTTAAATTTAAATATTTATACATTTTTTTAGATAAACAAGGTTATACAAACACACTCATTAAAACCTTAGCATATTATCAAAACTTTTATCGTTTCATCCCTCCCCCCTCCCCCAACCTATATACCACCCACCCCCCCCCCCATCCAGTACCTAACCCCTTCTGCTCTGCATTTTCCTGTTTATTTCTGGAGATCGTAATCCCTATAAAAGAAGAACAAAATATGTTTCCATATTATTCTATGTTGATCCCCCATAACCTCTAAGGCTAGCCTTGACTTTTTGAATTCCTCCTATTTGTTCCATATTTGCTCCATCTTATTCATTCAATGATAAAGTTCCTCCAATTTACATATTTGATCCACCCTATCGACCCAGTCTTTTAGTTTCGGCACCTCCTGTCTCCTCCAATACTTGGGAATCAGTCCCTTTGCTGCATTCAAATAGTACAATAAACCAGATTCTTTGTATTTTTTAACTGAAAGCTTAGTGCTATGAAAAAGGCAAATCTCTGGGTCTACTAGAATATCAACCTCTGTAATTTTCTGAATCAAGCTTACTATTTTTCCCCCAATACTCTTGTATTTTACAACACTCCCACCATATGTGATATATTGTGCCTCTACCTCCACGCCAACATAAAGGTGAATTATCTCCACTCAATCTGTGTGCCACACTCGGTGTGACACTTATACCATCTTGCCAAACACTTATAATTCATTTCTACCTCCTGTATATTTTATATTTCCGTGGATTATTCTATACATTTTTCTCTCTTTTTTCCGCATCTATTGTTACTCCTATTTCTCTTTTTCCCATTTTTCTGTATATGGAGGACTTATATCTGCATTTATTTCAGTGAGAATCTTATATATTCATTAGAGGTTCCGTGTTTCCCAACTGCACGTGTACCTAATAAGTGCTCAAAAGGATCCCAATCCTCTCTTATTCTTAAAGGCTTTGGAAGCTTTCCTATAAAGTGTTTCAATTGAAAATACACCACTCATCCATTCTCATAAAAACATCTCCTTTTTTTCCAATTCCTTAAGTGATCCTATTTCCTCCCCCACTGTGTCATGAGCCACATGAGCGGCTTATATCCCTTAATTGTGCATTTTCCTTCTTAATCCACTTCCCTGTGATACCTTCTTTACCCGGGGGGAAAAACTCTGTAGACTTTAAGGGCATTAACAATGAATTAAATTCCCATCCCATCTGTTTGTGTAAAACATCCCAAACTCTTAAAACATTAAATGTGAACAAACTTGTACTGTCTGCTAATCCTCTGTATTGTGGAGGTAACCATACAATTCCACTTAATTTAGTATTACTTAGTATATTTTCTATTTTATCCCAGCGTTTCCCCTCTGCATTATATGTCCAGTCAAAAAATTCTCACCATTATTACCGAGTTATAATATCTTTTTAAATCTGGGACTCCCAATCCTCCTTTTTCTTTATTTCTACATAGAATTTCCTGGCTTATTCCCGGCTTTTTATTCCTCCAGATAAATCTTATTAACTTTTTTTAATTGACTTAAAGTATACCTCTGGTAGTTTAATTGGTATCATTTGAAATTTATGTAATATTTTTAGAACAATCACCATTTTTATCAAATTTATATGACCTATCCATGATGGGGTTCCCCCTCCTAATTTCCTTAGTTCATCCCTGATATCATTTAACAGTGGGATATAATTCAATTTATACAAGTTCTTGGAGGATACAGTTAATTTTATTCCTAGATATTTTAATCTTTTTTCTCTCCAAAGGGAAATTCCTCCTGTAACCTATTTTTTCTCTCTCTGTTTGGAAGATTTATGGTTAAAATTTCTGTTTTTGTTGGGTTAATTTTTAAATTTGACATCTCCCCATATTCTTTCAGTGATTTCATTAAATTTGGCAATGTTATCCTTGGGTTTCCCACATAGAACAGCATGTCATCTGCAAAAGCTGCCACCTTAAGCTCCGTATCTCCTATCCAAATTCCTTTTATATCTATATTATTCCTTATTGTAGCCAAAAGAGATTCCAATGATAAAACATATAGCAATGGAGACAAAGGGCATCCCTATCTAGTTCCGTTCTGCATCCCAAAATACTCTGACAATTCCCCATTAACCATGATTTCTGCAGAGGGTTGACTATATAATTTCCTTATCCACTCTTTCATTCTAGGTCCCATCCCCAATACTTCCAATGTATCCAACATACAGTATATCCCCAATCTACTCTATCAAATGCCTTTTTAGCACCGATAGAGAGTACCACCACAGGGATTTTCTCTTTTCTACTTTTTTGTATGAGAAACAGAGATCTCAGTCCATTATCTCTACCCACTTTCCCTGGGACAAAGCCTACTTGGTCTATGTGTATCCATTCCGACATTAGGTCTTTCAACCTGTTTGCCAGAACGTTTGCATATAGTTTGGTATCTGTGTTTAATAAGGAAATCTGTCTGTAACTTGAACAGTGAGTATCATCTTTACCGTCCTTATGTATGAGAACTACATGGGCTTGTAGGGATTCCCTCCTCATTTCCATCTTTCCTCCCAATGCATTCATATATATCCTCAGTTTAGGTACTAATAATTCTTTATATTTTTTATAATATCTCACTGTGTATCCATCGGGTCCTGGACTTTTCCCAGCTATAGTGCTCTTTAATGCTAAGTATATTTCCTCCTGCGTTATTGTTGATTCTAGGGATTTTAATTGTTCCTCACTTAATTTTGGTAATCCTGCTTTTTTTAAGTATGTCTGTCTTTTTTCTATTTTTCCTACTTCATCTTTACTTATGGAGCTGTTGGGGATAATATTATATAGCTTATTATAATATTCTTTAAACATTTTTAGCTATATCTTTAGTTGAATACATTAATTCTCCTTTGTGGTCTCCTATTTTCTCTATAGTTCCTAGATTTTTTTTTCTCTGAGCCCTCATTAAGTACTTTCCTGGCCTATCTCCCCATCTGTATCTCTCACTTTATTTTATTGAACACTCTTCTCTTATCTTCTTCCAGAAATGTATTTAATTAATTCTCTTTTATTTATTACCCTCTGCATAATCTCTTTTGTTACTTTATGTTTATGTATCTGCTCTAACTCACAGAGTTAACTAAGAAGCATGTTTATTTTTTCTGTTCTTTCCCTCTTCTTTTTTGCTCCAATCGCTATCAGGATTCCTCTAATATAGGCCTTATGAGCCTCCCACACTGTTGCTACGGACACTTCCCCAGAATCATTTACCTCAAAAAATTGCCCTATTTCTTTTTTAATTCTTTGATCCACCTCTGAATCCTGGAGAAGTGTCTCATTTAACCTCCATAATTTCCCCCCGATCTGCTCAAATTATGGGGAAATCCCCATAATAATTGCATTGTGACAGGGGCATGGTCCGATATTGACATCACTTCTATTTTTACTTTTGACCAGAGACTCGATAAATCGATGGTCCAGCAATATATAATCCAGTCTTGAATACATCTTATATGCATGAGAATAAAAGTATAGTATAGTCTCAGTCCTTCATGT